ATTTGCAACAGCAGATTACAGTTGAGGGTTTTACCTGAAAAGGGTCTAACCTCCTAGCCAGTCCTCTAGAATGGAGAGAATTCTAGCCAAAATTAAGGATTTTTCTCTCAAGGGAAGGAAAAGGGTAAAAAGGGAAGGAAAAGGGTGAAAGGGAGAACAGATATAAACCCAAAGGGCAAAAAAATAGTGCATTCTGTGAAATAATTGCTCAGAGTAAGAAAAATACTGGTAGTTTGAATTCAGTTTATTTACAACTTCTTTGTTATTTTAAAATAAGGAATTGTTTTGCGACTCCTGAAACAAGCTGCAAAGGGCAGATCCAGGACCAAACAGATAGCAAATAAGCTCACAAGAGATTAGGGAGGCTAATAAAAGGTAGACTGATGAAAAGACAATCGCTTTGCATGTTGTACTGTACACTCCAGATTTGAGCTCCAAATGATTGTTAATTATGCAGTCAGAAAGAAACATATAGTCTAATTTGCTGGTGGAAATTGTTAATGGGGATATGTTGTTGAAAGGAATATTGTTAGAAGCTGAACTTTTCAGAGAAATTCTCTGATAAGAGGCAACCCAACTGAGCTTGAAAAGGAGGAGAGAGAAATTGCACTGAATTTTGGCATAGAAAACTAGAACATCAGAATATAGAGCAAATCAGGCAGATACAAAGGGAAGCATTGACCATCAGTTTCGAAATCATGCACAACAAATGTGCCAATCTGTGCTGCTCTGTACGTTTATATAGTAAATGTCTTTAAGGATCACAGATAACAAAAAATACTGAAATCACGGGAAATGTTGCATCTCAGCAGTATTCTGAATAAGCAAATCCACATTGATCTCTTTCCTTCCCATTGAGTCAAATAGAGGAAACTGGGGTTTAGTAATTTTCTTTGATGAAAAATCTGTCTGATAGGGCATAAAGATGAAGTGTCACCAATCCAGGCAATTTCTTCTTATATAGAAAATGCTTTTGGGGAAAAAAGACAATTTATGTTCTGATAATGGAACTGAATTTACAGATATCTAATTATTTAAAGGAAAATGGGATTATTCATAAGAGATCTGTTCCCTTTGCATTAGAACAAAATGGATCAGCAGAAAGAAAGTATCCTTCTCTATAGGAATATGATAGTTGATTCAGGCCTGGATCAGAAACGGCAGGAAGAAGCTATTTCTACTATCTTCCAAACAGGCTAGTCATTAAAGCCAATCCTTATTAGCTATGGTTCAACAGACAATTTGGTTTAAATCATATTAGAATGTCTGGATCTACAGCATGGGGTTATATTTCTAAAGAGAAAAGGAAACTGAAGTATAGTTGAACAAGGATGGGTATACAGCTGACACAAAAGAATACGGGGATCCTAGATCTGTCCACTGGTAAATGTGACTTACTTTAATGAGAAAATAAAGCCAGCTGGGAATTTGAATTTAGCAGCCTGTAGTATGCCACACTACCACAGTTTTTCCTTGCCTGTGGTTTCAAACCAGCAGTACAGCCTGTTTCAGCACTAGCACTAGCTGAGATGCAGTTCACATATATCCAACAAAGAGACATGCCCCTCCTCCCAGATAAACTCTTACTTACGGCCAAGAGAAAAGAAATGAAGAGGTAAAGACTTGGGGGCTACCTAAAAACTGCCAATTTATGAAATTGAGAACTGGAAAGCAAGTGAAGAGATGGAAACTCTTTCCAAAAATAACATTTGGCAACTAGATAAATAACATCTAGTAATAAGAGCCAGTTTGGTCTAATGCAGTGATTCTCAACCTTTTTAATGCCGCGACCCCCAACCGGTCATAAGTCAAGGACTAAACCGGTCATAAGTTGAGGACTAAACCGGTCGTAAGTCAAGGACTAAACCGGTCGTAAGTTGAGGACTACCCAACCGGTCGTAAGTCGAGGACTTTCCCTGCCCGGGAGCGCCGCGCATGCGTGGTTCCGCCCCCTGTGCCGGCCGAGGCGTAGCTGGCAAGCAGCAGAGACGAAGCAGGCCGACCACCAGCTGGCCCAGCCCAAGGGAGGTAAGGCACCCGCCAGAAAAGGGAAAAAAAATGGCGGACAGCCTTGCTTGGCGACCCCCGTGAAATGGTCGATCGACCCCAAATGGGATCGCGACCCATAGGTTGAGAACCGCTGGTCTAATGGTTAAGGCGCCAGCCTCCGGAGACCACAAGTTCTAATCTGTCTTAGCATGAAAGCCGGCTGGGTGTGTTGGGCCAGTTACTTTCTCTCAGTTCAACCCACCTTACATGGTTGTTGTTGTGGGGAAAATAGGTAGGAAGGAGTATTATGTAATTTGCTGTCTTGAGTTATCTATAAAAATAATAAAGGCAGGATAGAAATAAACTAAACTAAAATACATATATACATACATACATACATACATACATACCTGCCAGAATAAAGGCAATACAATGCAGATGAGGCTTCAAGACCAAATGCAATGGAAATGGAGAAGTATACCACCAAAGAGCCAGAGGGTTGAACTAGGGATAATCTCAGACTAGGGAGAGGACTATGGTGAACTTTGCCTCTATTATGAAGCATACTTTATTTTTTTATTTCATTTGTCAAATTTAGATACCTCCCATCTCACTCACAGAGCGACTTTAGTCAGAATGCTCTTAGGCAGGGGTCTTCAAACTTGGCCCTTTTATGACTTGTGGACTTCAATTCCCAGAATTCCTCAGCCAGCATGCTTTAGGCATAGCAACAGGAGAAGCACAGAGGGTAACCAATTGGGTCTAAAGACTTACAGGGAGAATTAGAGGGAGAGATTCACATGGAACAGCCCCCTGAATTCTTTCAGAGCCTGATGAGCGAACTACAGAAAAGCTTTTATGAACCAAAACAGGCCATCAGTGCATGAAATGAGAAACTAAACCAAACGTTGCTTAAGGAAGGATTTGAGTCAAAGCAAGGCTGGTCCTGCCTAAACTTGAGATTTATAAGTAATAAAGAGACCTTTATCCTGAATTAATGTAGATGGTTTAATAACTTCTTATGAGGATAAACAAGATAAGAAGAAGATTCTTGGTAGCATTTCCTGTTATAGCTTGAAAAAGATGAGTAAGAAAAATATCTCTTCAACCAGAAAAAGAAAATTGTGGACATTTTAAAATGCCTATGGCTGAGTGACCAATTCAGCCAGCAATCTATGGAGGTTAAATTTCTAAAGAAAGAAGAGCACACCTTATCTGGTATCAGTAAATATACTTGGAAAGCTTGGAAAGCTTCTATGTGTCAATAACTAGACCAAATTTGGGTACAGCAGATGAAGTTACATATCAGATAGTTCTTGACACTACGAACAGGATATACAAGAGCAAGGATTGCAGTACTATCCTGTAGAACAGGGCTTTTCAACCTATGGTACAGGTACACCTGTGGTACAATGGCACCTGGCAGGTGGTACGTGACCATCCTAGAAAAGTGGTAGCAGGGGAGGGGAATGAGCTGAACCGATGGCAGCACCGCACAAGCCTGAGCGAGAGATGGCTGGAGCTGCAGGGCTGTCCAAGGCTCAGTGGAAGCGCCAGGATCAGCGCCAGGCTCCAGCTGGAGCTCGGCACTGATCCTGGTGCTTTTGCTGAGCCCAGAAGAAGCGCTGATCAGCTGGAATGTTGCAGCATCTCCAGGGTCTTGTGATTTACATTCAGATGCTTGGCAACTGAATTCATATTTATGACGGTCACAGGGTCACAGGGTCATGTGAAGTGACCAAAACCTGCTGCAACCACCCAGCAGACGGGGGGAATAAAAACCAAACACACCCCACCCCACCCCCGCTACCAATCCTCAACAGAAATGCTCACAACAATGAAAACCTCGGACAGGAGGAAGAGCACCACTGGGTGGGCAGGCAGGTGTCTTGCTTGGCTGTGGCTTGGGGGGCATTTTTTTCAGTGCCATTGTAACTTCGAACAGTCACTAAGCGAACTGTTGTAAGTCGAGGACTACCTGTATTTTATCACTTTTTTCCTTTGGGGGGGTTCGTCAAGTTTTTGACACCTTTCTAGGCAACTGGTGGTACTCGGATGTTGCCATATCCTAAAAGTGGTACAATGGGTGAAAAGGTTGAAAAGCCTTGCTGTAGAACAATTTATCACTGATAAATTGCCAACCAAGCCACAACCCCAAGATTCATTCTAGAGGGATAGAATAGTGAATGTGTGTTCCAGAAGATGAGAAGGGGTGTTGGAGATTGCATCATCTCTTTCCATCTATGAACCTTTGGACCACTAAAGTTAATGGCAAGAGATACAGTCATGCAAAAATATTGACAATTCAAATGGGTTCACAAACTTTTCAGCACATACTGTGTATGTCTTGTCTCTCACATAGTTAGAAAATTAAGACTCTTATGTTTAACAGACTAGGGTACTACTTGTTTTCTCCCTCTTGCCTGTCTCTCTCTTGAAGCCATAGTTTAAATAGAAGAGAGATACAGTATAGATAGAAATGTTATCTTGCATATGTATTGATATGATGAATATATATTAGTATTTATTCACAGCTGTTCTAAGACTTTACTCTGCATCAAAGGCAATTTTTTTCCGAATGGGACCTGCTGCTAATTACTTGGGATTCTTTTAGTACTCTACACATGTTTAGAAGCACATCCTGAACTCCTATTAAAGAGTCCCTACTGAATTCAAATCTCCAAATGAAATATATAAAGAAATATGCTATGTTTGGTCTAATACGGTTAAGCAATGAATTGAAGTACATTTGTCCATGTCCTTGATTATCAGGAACTTGTGCATAACAATCCTATTCTGTATTCCCAATGTGCCCTTTAGCACATGGAATACAACATGATCAATGCTTTTATAAAGTTGATTAATAAGAAACCTTTACATTGCAGAGGATACAGGCTGCATCAGAAGTGCCTATTGTGCAATACGTATTTGATACCTATTTGTCTTAGGGATCATATCAACAATTCATGTGTCTCCTAACAGCCAGTATTCACGAAGTCTTTTTGTTGCAGGTCAGGTGAAAATGAGCTGCAAGTAGAGGACATAGCTCAGTATATTTATTCTGAAGGTAAGTTGCTTCCTGGATCTTCTTTGTCTGGCATTTGAGGGCAAAGAAGAAAATGTTGCTGTGATCAATACAGATAAAGTAAATAATTCTATTGAACATTTGAAGCTGCCTCTGCATTGAGACAGGATGTTGGATTAAATGAAACTTTTGGATTAGATCCAGGAGAGCTTTTATTTTGTTATGTTTACTAAACTGGGAAAAGATCTTCAATTCCTCTTCTGGAGTTTTTTAAAATTAGGAATGTTACAACAGATCATCCATTCACAGTTCCATTCAAATTTACATGTGTACAGATGGATGCCAGAATGTAATTTTGCCAGCGGCATGGAATGCACTCAGCAGATACATATAAACAGAAAGAGGAACAGTTAAAGTTAGAGTATTAGTTTAATGACCGTTGAGTTTAATATATAATATAGACATGTACCAGCCACAAAAGAGAAAAACGCTTGGAGAGTAGAAAAAGGAGCATTTGCCAAACATGGAAAGAATGTGTATTTGACTGTATACGCCTTTGGATTACAAACCTGATCATTAAAAGCCAAATATTAGATAATTAAAAAACTACTTAAAACTCATTAAAATATATGAAAAACTTAAATAAAAAGAAATGTATCGAGACTTTTTCAGAACTGAACCAATGCAAGGAACAGCCTCAACTTCAACTGCAAGTAATTTCATAGACTGGGCTCCACTGAAAAAGCAAAATTAGCTGTAAACTAATCTTGTATTGACATATTAAGCATATCAGTATTGGAATCTAAAGAAGTCAAGTCTTTGGATCAATAAAAGTCCATTTTGTCCAAATTTAGCTTCAGTTGGTTTTTCCATAACCAGTTATTTGCACTTTAGAGATTTGCACAGGGAGGATTTTGAGACATTCAAATTTTGCATGCAAGAAAGGACAAATATAGCTAAATATCATCAGCATACTAGCAGCAGATAGTTCTGAAAGCACATATGATCCTTTCTTATGATTTCTTAAATCAATTACTGTGAGATTGTATTTTCAGGGCCATTTTTCAGAGGGGCAGACAGAATTGATAGTAAAGCCATTTCAAAGGGGTGCCAAATAAGTCAAGTATTGGTGAAAATGCTAGACTGAGGGGAAGAAATGGAAACATATAGAGAAGGAAAAGAGAAGAAATGAAGCATGAATGGTATGTAGTTCTGTGTGCTTTGTATATTACAGGAAAGATAATGACTTCCATAGTAATCAAAAAGTTAAAAGGATGTCATTGGCCAGGTTACTGTAATCCCCTAGGTTTTAGTTATAAAACACACACACACATACATATATATAGGACAGGATATATCCACTATATACAGTACACACACACACACACACACACACACATATATGGCTGTGGCTCAGTCTGGTTAAATGGAAAAGAAAGAAAAGAGAAAGCGCACATTTGTAATATGTTTAATTTCACAATGCTTGTGGGTATACAATATTTTTTGTTGTTCCATTGTCTGTGCAGATATAGAGATTGTCTGGTTTGCCGATTCTAGAACACGCAACATATAATTGTCCATGTGAGAAGCAATCCGTGTCTAGATCTAAACCGCATAATTCTAAAGATTGGCCCTGAGCTTTGTTGATGATGATTGCAAACGCCAATCGAATTGGGAATTGCAATCTCTTAAATTGAAATGGCATATCCGTTGGAATCATAGGAATGCGAGGAATGAGGACATCTTCACCTTTGAAAGGTCCTGTCAAGATTGTTGCTTCTACGACGTTGCTCATTAAAGCATGTTTTTATGCTTTAAAGAGCATGTTTTACCCGTCACAGGTGTGACATCTATATAATAGTAGGTATATAAAAACACGTGCGTATTCGAATGCAACGTTGTGTCAAAATTTCAAAGCAATCGGTGAAGAACTTTCGGAGATTTAAGATTTTGAACAAACGAACATTTACATTTTTATTTATATAGATATATGGATATACATATATATATGTATGTATGTGGGTGTATATATAGAGAGAGAGGTAGAGGGAGGGAGGGAGGGAGAGAGAGAGAGAGAGAGAGAGAGAGGTTCTAGGAAAGGGTTGCAAGGAATAGTTATGGACTCCAAGCACAATTAAAGCTGCATGGAATCCTACAAATATTTTGGATGTAGCGCAACAACATTATAGGAATTTGATTGCTATATTTTTAAAGTTCTCACTTGTAACAATCTAATGGCAGGCAAGCTAGCTGCATATCATTATAATAAATTGGAAGTAGTTTGTATGTACAATTGTAGCCAATTGCTTAGACTCAAAGAGCTGAGAAATCAACTCTGTGCCTCAAAGAGAAACTTAGATTTCTCTTTCTTGAAACTTATTTCTCTCCTTCCTCTTTTCTCTGTCCTTGTCAATCAAGGTGAACAACTAGAAACAATGGTATCAGCAGAAAAGTATGCAGTGTTGGGATCAGCAATTCAAAAGATGGTGGTGAGCTTAGAGTTCCCACAATACATTTCACAGTCCTTGGTGAATGTGAAGCTGTTCTTCAGATTGTTGTAATGAGAAACCTTGTTGTAGTTTAATAATTAACACACTTCTGGGGAAACAAATCATACAAGCAGTTCCTTTGAATTGTTTCTTCAGTTTATTGTCGAAATCAAACAATTTTCAGTTTATTTTATTTTTTTTTAAATTAAATTGAAAAGTGTATCTTGTCAACAGAAAATGAAAAATAATTTAATATTCAAAATTTTCCTCTATCATTTCTTGATAGCTTGACAGACAACCCAAAAGTACAATAAACCTTAAGCAGTCAGCTAAGGTATTTCTGGATCCTAGAACTATGTTTAATTTTGTGTTCTCATTTTATATCCGCTTGTATTCAAAGTCGTTCTGGAGTGATCCATATGTTAAAGATCTATATCTATATTCCCCAAGACCCTTTTAGGGGTATATGAAATCAAAATTATTTTCCAATCTTTGTTGAAAATTAATATAATATTAAAATCCCATTGAGAATCATAAGAAGTGACAATGGCAATTGTAAATGCATCAATTTTAATTTTTAATATACGGTATTCCTTGACTTACAACCATTTGTTTAGTGACTGTTTGAAGTTGCAACAGCACTGAAAAAAGTGACTTATGACTATTTTTCACATTTACAACTGTTACCACAAACCCATGGTCCTGTGATCAAAATTTGGATGCTTGGCAAGTGGCATGTATTTATGGTGGTTATACTGTCCCGGGGTCATGAGATCACCTTTTGTGACCTTCTGACAAGCAAAGTCAGCGGAGAAGCCAGATTCACTTAACAACCATGTTACTGACTTAACAACTACAGTGATTCACTTAACAATTGTGGCAAGAAAAGTCATAAAATGTATTAAAACTCACTTAGCAACTGTCTTTCTTAGCAACAGAAATTTGGGGGCTCAAATGTGGTTGTATGTCAAGGACTACCTCTATGATAAATATCAATAAATATAACCCTTAGAAACAAAAGCTTTTTTGGGGTCCTCCATACATTTTAAAAGAAGGAAGGGGTCCTGAGAGAAAACTGTTTAAGAAATCCTGATGTACATTATGATATAAATAAGAAGAAACAATAAATTTGGGGTATTTCTGCCCACTGAGTCCTGAGATTTGTTAATTAGATTGGTGTTTATTCAACCATTATATAAGCTCAATGCTGACTGTAGGGCCTTCTAAAAGTATGTTTAAAATATGTATAAACTAAAGATTATTAAGAAACCGGATGTCTAGGATCCCATTCTGAGCTCACAGAAGTACAAACTACTGATTCTACCCAGCAGTTCTGAGAATGTGAGTTGCAAATAAATAGTCCCCTATATTGAATGCTGATTCTGTACTTTCTCTTCCTGTTAATCCCACCTCACTCTCCATACATTTCCTCTGTCTTTCTCTCACCGCAGAAACAAGTGTTGAAGGAAATCTATCCAAGGAATTTCCAAACTCTTCTGTGATGCAACCTTCAACTCCAATAATACAGGTAAAGAGCAACAAAGTCAGAGCAGCCTGATTTTGCCACCAATAATTCTTCGTACACATTAAAACATATTGTGTAGCACATGAAAATAAAGATAGTCTTCGGGTTATGATAGCAATTGGAACAGAATTTCCATTGCTAAGTAGTATAGTTGTAAAACACATTATTTGCATCACTTAGCAATGACAGTTGCTCTGGATCGTGTGGGTGGTTAAGAGGTAAGGGGCAGGAATCCCAGGCAAGGAGCAGGGTGGGTGGATAGGTTGGTGCTGCAGGGGGGATGCTGTGGGGAGGTGCCACAGGGCATGGGCCAGCTAGAGGGGGAGTGCAGACAGATTGACAGGGGCCATTGGTGATAACCTTTGAATGTGGGCAAGCTGCAGGGGCTGCAGGCAGCTGGTAGGAGCCACAGGGCAATGCTTTTGAATGCAGGCAGGTTGGCAGGAGCTGTGAGCAGGTAATTGAGCACATGTGGAACAGCAGGGACTGCAGACAGGCACTACAGAGCATGGGTGGGCTGGTGGGGGCCACCACAAAGCAGGTACTACAGAGTAAGATTGTAAATAGTGATCACATGACTGCAGCTCATTCTGACATCATAATTGCGAGATGGGCACTCAAGCACCCAGATCACAATCACATGACCATGGGGGATGCTGCAAAGGCTACAATTTCATAAACTGGTCGTAAGTCCATCTCATTCTGCACTGGTATATTCTTGAACAATCACTGACTGAGTAGTGGCCATAACTAGAGGAAAAGCTGTATAATTTGTGCAATATTTTAAGTAATAATTAGGCTATTGTACAAATGATACATAATACTTAATGACAATATATAAGGAGTAATAAATCATACAGACATAGATACTGTAGCTGAGTGCACTCAGTTATATTTTAAAGTTTGTATATATATTTCATATTTCCATCTGAGCAGTTTTCTGATTTTTCAGCTGACAATTTTCCTTACATTCTTTTTTTCCTAAATTTTATTTATTCTTAATATTCACGTCACCACAGTTTTAAATGTACATATCCTTAACACTTACATAAATAGATCTCATATTGCCCATTACACTGTTCTTTTTATTCATGGCTGAAATAAATATATTGTTTTTGTTTTTTCAACACTTGGTTAATTTGTTTGTTTTGAGCAAATAATACCAAATGATGACAATAATCTCGGCTTGCAAAGGAAACCAGTCCAGTGAAAAGTTGGTAGGTTGCTGGCTGTTTCCACCACTTCAGAGAAGTGTCTTCATTCAAAGCTCCATTATTAAATATGTCCTGTATAAACAATTCCTCGCCTAGCATATTATGTTTAATATAACTGGTGTTATGACAACAGTAATCTGGAGTTGATAGTATGAAATTAGTAGTTGATCTTACCTCTATTGCTTGCAGATTAATGTTTTGATTAGATTTTTTTTGTTTCTTCAGCATCTTGAAGTCCCTTCCAAATGACAACAGTTTATTTGCAATGCAGTATCCATTGCTCCAAAAAACTTCTAAGGCTATGGTGGTATACAGTTAATCCTTGGTTGACGACTGCAATTGGGACCAGAATTTCCGTTGCTAAGTGATGCAGTTGTAAAGTGTGACATCACATGTCCACATCATTTGACAACAGCAATCCAGGCAGTCCCCATTGCCATTGTTAACCAAATCCCACTGGTTGTTAAAAGAGGACCCACCCCGATACAAGCCATTCCCAGCTTGCTCCCTCCAAGCCCAGAGCCCCAATAAAGTAAGGGACTGCCTTGTTTGCCTTCCTTTGAACTCTCCCCACCTGCCTACCACCAGCACCCCATCTCAGTCAAAGACAGAATGAAAGAAATTGAAAAAATACATGTACCAAAATGGAATCAAATTAGCAGCAAAACTTTGGCTAAAACAGTTAAGAAGTTGTTAAAATTATTCCAACTGAAACATTAGCCAAATGAACCGATTGATGAATGCCATAGTTATGTAACTACTGAGGAATTGGGGCTTCAAATTCAAAGGAATGAGGTTATTAAGAAAGGAAAATCTAATTGGAACATGCAAATAGAGTTGAAAATAAAGAAAATTTGCCTAAACTTGAGCAATTTAAAGAATCTGAAGCAAGGAACCTTGAAAAAAAAAATCAAAACTGTGTGAGGGTGTGAGTGAAGTACAACCTGGACGGTAAAGGAATTTCAGAGGGTGTAGAACAATTGAGAGAAAGAGTCATAGCTATTGCAGGGAAGATCACATAATATGAAAACCAAATAATTCAATTCCTGCAGATTTTGCAATTTAGAGCAAATCAATATAAATTCTACAAAACCCTTGAAAAAGGGAAAGGACTAACTACAAATAAGCCTGACAAAGAAGAAACCCTAAAATTTTGGAAATATTTGTGGGAAAACAATAGGAATACAACATGGATCAAGCAAGTTGAACATGCAATGGAAGTAGTCAGTATGAAAAACATTAGGGTAATTGAGGAAATGGTATGAAAGCAATCAGAAGGTAAAAGCTGGAATGCTCCTGGAGCAGATGAGTTGCATGGATTTTGGTTCATCTACACTTGAGGTTGGCAGACCAGATGAATAGGGTTTTGGAAGCATCAAAAACCAGAAAATGGCTAAACAATTACAAGGACATTCCTAATTCTATAGGGTAAGGAGAAGGGGAAAGAATCTGAAAACTACAGATCCATAGCCTGTCTGCCAACAAATACAAGCTATTTATGGGCATAATTGCAAAACAAGTCTACAGCTATTTGAAAAGTAATGATTTATTCCCTATAGAACAAAAAGGATGCTGCATATGTTTTAGAGAACAAAGGACCAGTTATTGATTGATAAGCTGGTTTTAAAGAATTTAAAAAAAACCACAAAATTGTTCATTGCTTGGAATAGACAATAAAAAGGCATTCAATTCTGTTTCACAAAGCTGGATTGAGAAATGTCAGTAGAAACATTCAGCAATTTGTGACTACTTTGGGGAAGTTTTGATGAACAAAGCTGACAAATAAAAGTGAAAAATTAGGAGAAATTTTCCAAGGTGACTCATTATCAGCTTTACTGTAAAGTATCAATGGCCTTACTGATGGCAGTTTTGAATAAGACAAACTATGGATATGAATTGGCAAAAAAGAAGTACAAATTTCATATTTACTCTGTATGAATGATTTAAAATTATCTGGAAAACCAAAGGTTGAACTAGATTCTTTATTAAAAAAAAAAAACACTTAAGAAAAGATGTTGATGTGTACTTTGGCATTGAGAATTATGCGACCATAGCCACAAGAGCAGACAAAATTGTTGAAGATGATGGAATACAGCTTAGCAATGAAGATTTGATTAAGACAGTAGCAGAAGAAGGCTACAAATATCTGGGAATTTTGGAAGCTTCCAATTTATTCAGAATCAAGTAAAAGAAAATACTTCTTCCAAATATATCAAATGTGTTTAGAAAATGGTGAAATCACAGCTAAATGGTGGAAACATTATTAAAGCAATTAATGCCTTGGCAATTCTCTGTTATTCAATATACAAACAAGAATAGTTGACTGGACCTAGATAGAATTTGATAACTTGGATTGGGAGGCAAGAAAACTAATCACAGTGTACCATGCTTTGGATCCAAAGAGTGATATTGATTGGCTGCATTTGCCAAGAGCTGAAGGGGGTAGAGGACTCTTACAGGTGAAACAAACTCACTTGAAACAACAAAGGTGAAAGGTTTTGTGAGGCTGAATATAGAAAAGAAACAAAACTGATCTGTTAATTGAAGGAACAAGCCAATGCCTGGCTAATATTTGAAGGATATAGAAGCAAAAGTCAATTAAAAAACTCCATGTGCGGTTGGTTAAAATCAGGAGCATTATAAAATGAAGGCTTTATTTTAACAACTCAAGAACAAGCTTTGCCAACTAATAGCATGAAGGCAAAAATTCAACATGTAAAAAACAACAGCAAATGTCATCTTTGTATTGAAAAAGATGAAACAGTTGACCATTTGATCAGTGGCTGCAGCAAAAACTTTAAAATTGACTACAAAGTAGCATCATGACTGAATTGCCAGAATTCATTAGAGACCTTGCCAAGAGTTTGGATCTTAATGGAGAAAAAAACTACAGGGATCATCAAGTTGAGAAAATTTTGGAAATTTTAAGATCTTACGGGATTTTAAGATTCAAACAGACAGGCATCTTGTTCATAACATGCCTGTCTAATATTGAAAAGAAAAAAGTCTGATTCATTGATGCTCTATTTCAGGTGATTGAGGAAAAACAATTGGAAAAAGTTACAAAATACTGGGACTTACAGGTTGAAGTTGAATTCTTATGAAAAAAGAAATCTCTTGTTATATCAATTGTGACTGGAGTGCTCAGAGCGGTACCAAAAGAGCTTTCTCAATATTGGGAAATACTGAATTTATCAGACCTGAATACCTTAATTTTACAAAAAAAAACCAAAAACATCTTGCTTGGAACTGCCTATATTCTTAGATGCTACGGTACCTTAATAATTCTTAGGTCCTTGATTAGGACTTGTGTTATTAAATTTCCACCAAACTTTGCTCACTCACACATGTTAGAATGATGCCTCCAGTGAGGCACAATCTTAACATGGTTGCATGCTCTACAGAGAATAAGAGCTACAATAGAGCTTCAACCATACTGAACCAGTCTCATCAGAGGAGCTACACAAAGAGGGCCTCTCCCATAAACAATATGGTGAGATGTGATTTATAGAAACCTATACTGGATTGATTGTTGCCTAGGTCAACAAGGGCATGCTAGGTGTTGGTATTCCTGGATATCTGGAAATCTGATAACAAATGGGGACTGAAAACTAAAACAAATGAAGAATGTTTGCAGGAATTGGGTATGTCTAGTTTAATTAAAAGAAGGACTAGGGGGCTGCTGCAAAGAAGAGGAGGTCAACTTATTTTTCAAAGCACCTGAAGGCAGGATAGGAAACAATGGGTGGAAACTAATCAAGGAGAAAAGCAACCTAGAACTAAGGGAAAATTTCCTGGCAGTTAGAACAATTAATCATTGGAATGATTTGCCTCCAGAAGTTGTGGGTGCTCCAACACTGGAGGTTTTTAAGAAAAGATTAGACAACCATTTTTCTGAAGTGGTATAGGGTTTCCTGCCTGAGCAGGGGGCTAGACTAGAAGACCCCCAACGTTCCTTTCAAATCTATTATTCTGTTAAATGGTCTACAGCAGGGGTGTCAAACTTGCAATGTTACATGATGTGTCGTGACGTATCGTGACTTTTTTTCCATTGCCGGCAATGGGGGCGCGGTTTCACCATGACGCATCCGGCCCATGGGCCGGCAGTTTGACACCCCTGGTCTACAGCAAGGGTCCCCCAATCTGTGGGCCACAGCACTTGCAGGCCCACCCGTGCAAGCGATGGGCACACACACCACTCACAAATGAAGCTGTGTGCATTCCTAGCCCTCGCACAAAACCAGTCCCTTTTTGCCCCGCCCCCTGTGCCAGGCCACCAACCCAGAAAGGTTGGGGAATGCTGTTCTACAGGACTCAGAACTGTTGGTTGAGCAACCAGGGCCAGCAGCTGCAGGATTACTAGAAGAAAAATTGTATGCCCATTGCAAATATAAGAAGACTAAAACAAAGAAATGATAAAATAATTTGTAATCTGTTATTGAAACAAAAAATAACTGAGCATCTAGAACAACACAAAAACAATAGAATAAATTAGCCTGCATTGTTACAAAGAAACAGCAAGCACAAATATTAAAAGATGTCAGTAGCGCAATATCAAATATAAGCATCAACTTGCTGCAAGAAACAAACCAACTAATGCACGGCATGCCTGCAGTTATAACTAAATATCTTGGATGCAAAATGAACAAAGAACAAAAGTGCACCACCAAAATGGAAGAGCAGATTGGAAAATAAGATCAGCATGCTAAGATCAGGTGCAATCGATCTAGAAGAGAAGGAAGAAAAGAAGCTGAGGAATAAAATCAAAGAATATCTGATCAAAATATATCACCTAGAAACAAAGAAAGTCAAAGAAGCACTGCAAATAATAAAACAGCAAATAATAGCTACAGCTGATATAAAGCTTGAATTGTACTTTACTGGTAGTCCACAGCAGTCCAGAGCTCATGTTAAGGAAACAGAGCAAGCCATTCCATTTCTGAGCTGCATGATGAAAATCCAGAAGCAGCTGCCAGTTTTTGGAATCCCCACAACTCAATGTGAACACTCTGAAAATGGTGGCTGTATCTGGGATCGCCCATGAGACTCAGGCACAGAGTGGCTTGCTCTACATCCTTAATGTGAGCTCCAGAAAACTCTGCAGCGGTCCACCCCAGTCCAGAGCTTGTGTTACGGAAGCAGGCCAAGCCTTTCCTATTCCTGAGTCACATAATGCAATACCAGAAGCAGCCGCCATTTTCAGAGTGCCCACAATTCAGTGCAGCCCTTCCAAAAATGGAGACAGCTTCCAGGATCCCACCATGCAGTCCTAGAGTGGAGTGACCTGCCCTCCTTCCCTAGCCCGAGCTCTGGAGATCTTTGAAAGGTATGTGAGGAGGAGGGTATGGGGCCAGGTGGAATGGGAAGCAGGTGCAGGACCTGCAGGCACCCAGTGGGGGAATGGGGGGATAGAGGCAGAGGGGGCACTGCTGCATCCCTGTGGTTGGTCATAAGGGCAGCAGCATTTACTTTAGGACTGGGCCATAGGCAGCTTTTGGGGAAGTCCACTGTAACTTCAAACGATTCAATTAAAATAATTTTATTGTATTTTAAACAAAAGTACTATTTTTTAGATTTTGAAAACTAGGTTTAATTGTTTTTTAAAATAATTTTACAAACATTTTATAAAAAAAAATACTCAATGCTCTGAAGATGCAACCTACTACATAACTCTAAAACTTAGAATAACAGAATTGGAAGGGACAATTGTAGTCCAATCCCCTGCTCAAGAAGGAGACCCTATAGTACCGTTTCTGACAAGTGGCTGTCCAGTCTCTTCTTGAAAGCCTCCAGTGATGAAGCACCCACAACTTCTGAATTTCAACAATATCATTTCTTTCTAGTAAGAGTTCTTCCTCCACAGCATTCTTTTTTATTGATTTGATATTGATTGACCAATTCATATTCATAGCTCATCCCAATTAATTTACAATGTAGCAAACAGCTCCAAAGGGCGGTGTATTTGAAAAACTCTTATGTATTTAGATCATTTGTTACCATTCTGCAGGTTAGACCATTTAAAAAATAGATTTGTTTTCTCACTGGGGGATTAATGTTTTTTTTCCTGGACATTTTCATATGAAACCCTAAATTATTATTTTTTTCTTATTTCTAATGAAGTCATTCTGGTTTGTATTTTATAATTTTGAATTACTAATTTTAACATCATAGTACAGTAGATAATGCTAATGTGCTACAAATATCAGTTACTTCTTATTTGTTATCTTTATCCCAAATCTCTGGAAGAATATTTATAATAAAATTGATGTTCTCATAATACATCATACATAGTTTGGCTACTATCCTGTTGCTTAACATAATCATCTTAATCAACATTGCCTTGCAGAAATATATGATGTCCATTCATTTAAACAAAGCAGTACGTTCTGAGGAGAAATAAGTATACTTAAAATGAATGTATTATTAACTCTATAAGCAGTTTTTATTTCCCCGTGGTTCTTGCTAAAATATAATCTTTTTAATCCTAAAAATTAACACTTTTAATACAGACTAAGAGTAAATTTTTAATAAGATTGGGATCCTGAAACCTGTAGGCTGTATCTAATCCAAAATTTTTGTAGCCTCCTCCACCTTCAGTCATGAGCTACCAAATCTTGGCAGCAAACAATTGTTACATAGTGGTTAAAATTGCAGAGTTAGACAGGGATGAACCAGGTTTGATAATTGAAGCTTATTGGGTGATTTTGGCCTTTCACTTTCTTTTTTTTTTTTATTAAAAGTTTTAAATAATTTTCCATACAATATCCCCCTTCCCTCCCACCCCTCCCCCTCTTCACTTCCCAGAGCTGGTTATAGGGTTATAAAAACAGAATCATAAATTAAATAACATTACCCAGATATACTACAATCGAGTCTCATCCACACATACTTTAACTCTACATAATAGATAAATCTTAACACTTTTCCAGCAAAATAATAATATAATTAAACATTATTACTAAAAATAATATAAATTCGTCCATAATAAACTATTAATAATATTCTAAAATTTACTCATAAGCTAAGTAATACTTTTCAATCTCGTATTTTTTATGAATATAATCAATCCATCTTCTCCAAACCAAAATATATTTTCCTTGAGATTGATCCTTCAAATAAGTGGAAATTTTTGCCATTTCTGCTAAATTAGACACCTTAATTCTTCATTCTTCCATAGTAGGCAAAGAATTTTTCTTCCAATATTGCGCTCCTAGTAATCTTGCAGCTGTACTTACTTTTGATTCATACTTCTCACAGGATACCACTGTGATCCTACCAATGTATGCTACCTTGAGCACACAGAAGAAATGGGTGTTAAAACGTAATAAATAAAAAAATGATAATTTTTCTATTCTTAAAGATGAACAATTAAAAAATAGGTAGTAAAAGAGCTTGAACTTCAGATTTTTATAGGTCTTTTTAGAATAGCTATTGTTCAATTAATTATCGTGTAGACTTTTTCAGACTTTCAGCATATTTTACCAAGTAGTGTGCTTGAAAAAAAGATTAAATCAATACCTGTTGGTACAAATGGAAGTGGAAAGTAAAGTATGCTGTTTGTTTCCTCTACAGGCATGCAATTTTGTAGTTATTATGCCATAACATCTAAGGCAGAGAACGGCACATTCCTTAAGCTCCTGATGAAACGTAATGCTCTGTTTCTACCACTCCATAGTTAGCTATGAGCATTCATCATACTGTAAATAAATGTATTATTTTGCTACTCCTTTTCACATTCTGTCTATTTTTTCTGCTTTTTCTTTCACGGCCTAGATTCCTGAACTCACAATCACTACTAACTCACCAGAAAAGAAGGACCCTTCTAAAGATCATCTTGTAGATTTTACTGATTCCCCACAGGGACATGCCATCAGGGTCCACACTACATCTCACGAGGAGCTGAAAGTGCCATGGGGTTTCATGCTAGGTACTGAAACCCATTCCTTGGGACAGTGGGATGCTCCCGAATTCAGCAAGTGTGACCTCACCACAGAGGGCTCTTTCATGGAAGAATGCATGGAGGAACAGTTGAGAAGATACCAAGAGCTGCCCCATCGCTTGGAGGAAGATGCCATAGATAGAGAACTGGAACAGCTTTACTTGTCCCATCTGAGCCGGCTTCGAGCAGAAGAGCTTGGAGGAAGAGGAGAGTGGTCTGAGGAGACCTCAGGCAGCAACACCAGTCCTGTACCATCTCTCATTGCATTGCGTCAGAATGTCTTGACTGATCGTGACTTGATAGTCAACTGGACAGGCCCAGAGAGAGCACTCAACAGTTCCCTGGCAAAAGAGATCACACTGTACTATGCTAAGCAACGGGGCGATGACTCCAGAGATAGTGAGGAGGAGGGAATTATGGCAGGATATGCAACACAGGGACCACCTGAGGTGGTTGGACCAGGCCGTGATAGCCCACCGGTCTTACTAGAAGGCTGCTTTCTAAATCATCTGGAAGAGGGAAATGTCCAACAGAGTCCAATGAAGGACTCTGACTCCTTTCCCTTGAGAGTGGTGGCACCCAACATGTTGAGGCCGGTAATTCCAGAGGCTGTGGTGATGCCCCTTGTAGTTCCAGCCCGGACACTAGTGCCCCTACCAAAGCGGCCCACAGACCTGCCATCCAGCCCTCTTGATGCCCATGGACAAGGCAAGTGCCAGGGCTTCTTGATCGGGCATGGCAGCCTCTGGCTGGGTGAGGGCCTTCATGTCCACAAGCCTTCAGAAACCAATCCCGTTCCTCATAATGAACTTGAAAAGATCTTGACACGCTCCCTGCGGTTCCTCAGCCTCTTTGTCTTCCTTCCCGTGGTTTTCAACAGCTGCATGCCTTTGGTGGCCGTTACACTTTACCTCCTTTTGGATTGGTTCTCATAATTGGTATGACTCTCAGAAGTGCCAAAAGGCCCTTGAGAAGTTCTGTAACTTGGCTCTATTCCTGTTTCACCTGATCAACTAAAAATTTGGCAGTAGTGTCAGATCTTTTTAGAGTTAATAGCACATCCATTCTAAATTTCCCAAGGTTCAGAACTATTTATTTTTATTAAATCATCTGGTATAAGTTATGAATTGCTTGGACAATAAAAATGAGCTATATGTAAAACTTGCCATGAATTGGATCTGAGATAGCATTTGCAAGACCCAGAGGAGGTGACAGAGGACTCAAAGCCCCAATAGCCCTCCCACTCTCCCTTTGCACTGTTTATTCAAGAAAGCTAGAAGCAACAGCATTGTCCATCCTGTCATTTGCAAGTATGGAGAGGTAACTAAGGATGCCTTGTCTAAAGGGCCTCAAATCCTACTCAAAGAGCCAGAATAATATGTTTCCCTTTTCCGCCTCTAAAAACAAAATTCCTTGTTAAGATTTAGTAGACTTTATCTCTGTGTTTTCAGCCTTCCTCTTTCAGGTACTTGGCTGAAATCCAGTTAGCTTACTTATAAGATTAATTTATTTCCAATTTGGGAATGAGGCAAGCATTTCCTAAAAGGACCATATTCTTTGATATTTTTACAGATACATGCTTTTAGCAGGCTTTGACTGTAACTTGTTACAAAGCAAAACATTGATATTAAGGGATAATTTCAGACTATTTTAGAATCTTAACAAATTAAACATTTACATTTTTAGGGGGGAAAAGTCAAAATGGCCCATGTCAAACTTCTTAAGATAGAACGTTTTATTTAAGTACTGTCTGGCCATTCTCTATATAATATTAGTGCAACGTTTGGTAACTAAATTCCTAGTACAGTAAGTCTGAGGAACCTCTGTTTTTATTATTTTACAAAGTACCAACCTGTTCTGTGTAAGAGATTTGGAGAAATCAACTAGCTAGCTCAGTTTCTATCTTGCTTTTCTCATGGGCAAGTACAAATGATTACTAATTAAGTGAATTCTGCATTAACAAACAAACAAAAATCCCATTGAGTTAAAAATGGCCCCACACCTAGTGCTAATCTGTTGTGGAAGTTTCTTTGGCTCTTTGGGAAAGAATGCAGGCTTAGACCTGAATAGACTACCCTGTGACATAGCAGTCTAGCAACTGTGAAAAAGACTAATTAATAGATGACCCCTAATCCCCATTTATTTTTACAAGGCTGGGAAATTGTAAATATGTTTTGAAAATATCATGAAGCACTTTCTTTCAGAATGTTCTCCTGTGCCAGCCTCAGTGAATTTAACAAGAAAAGTCCAAAGGCAAAATAGCACTTTTGTTGAGCACCTGATTTCAGAAGGATTTGTGCAATCCTGGATTGTGCTCCACGTTTCCGTAATTTCCCATTATTTGAATGAAACAGGGAGACAGACAGAAGTTTTCCATTCCAAAGAAGATGGCAGCATTTTCAGTTTATTGTCCGTACAGCTTCTGCAAAATACAATCACAACCATTCCAGATGGCCTCAACAATCGCACAGCCAAGTTCCATTCATGCCCCAATCCTGAGCCATACCCAGCTTCTTAGGAAGAAACTTTGGACTGCTGGCTGTCTGTGCTTCTAGGACCCCTTTTCACTCCTGGATCCTATACTTCTCTGCCACTAGCAGGGTCCAACACAGAGGACTACAGGAAAGCTCCCTAAAACAGATGGCCCCATATTTATTTTTGTACCTGGTGGGAAGGCTGACTTTTTCTACCGTAGAATTCATCCCAAGATAGAGATTTTATTTATTAACAACTAGCAGTACAAACCCAGGCTGGTGGGTTTGCAGAAGATTAAAATAATTTATATATACATGTTTGATGTCTGCAGCAAAGGAGTAGATTGGAAACATCCTGTGTCTTTATGTGCAATAGGTTGAAATGGCACTGAACTTGCTGTAAGAAGAAAGCCCACCCACTTTCATGCTGCTAAATGTTTTTCATTAACTTCCTCTTGAATGTTGTACTGTCAGCAGCTGCTGTGATATAGCTTGTGGGGCCTTGTGGAGGAAGTGGAGATATTTGTATGGGTCCTGAAGCCACTTCTGTCTGCTGATCCAGACACGGTCCTGCTTTCCCTATCCATTGGTGAATGCTCTTAACTAAGGAACATGGGGAGGTTTGGAAAGTGGAATACTGTTTGTGCTTCATGAAGAGAGATCTGTCCTGACGTCAGTCATCATAAGAAAAATCTGTATTTTCCAGATAAAAGCTGAGATCAGAATGTAATTAGCAGTCACGGCTGTGTGTGTGGGTATGTATGTGTATGTGTGTGTGAGAGAGAGAGAGAGTGAGAGAGAGAGAATGTACACATACTTTTCTTAATTGCCCTATGGTTACATTTTTTGTTGTCCTAATATCGTTCCTTCTGCCTTATTCAAACTGTCAGATCCTTCATCAGACAAATATGTCTTATACATGTTCCACACCATACAAGTTCTGAAAATTATTTGGTACCTCCCCTTGGCTACAAAGCAAGCATTGATTATACTTCATACCTCTGTAGAAACACTTGGTCAAAGCCAAAATCTTCATAAGTGAGCAAGGCTGCCTCTGGTGGCAGATTGTTGAATAACAATGACTACACAATGGGATATAAACATATATTATGGAGTTTTATCCTTCAGAGAGTTCTTCTGCACAACTTGTATGGAAATGCATAATATCTGCATAGAACATTCCTGTGCTTTTGCACAACTGGTCATATAAGTTAACATGTGCAGGAGAATTTATATGTGAGATGTGCTTCATGTTAATAAGAGGTTTCTATGGATTTGGGGATACCCAAATTCAAAGTATTTTGGATTAGCTCTTGTAAAGCCAAGCTTACTTTAGTGCTTTTACTTTATATTGTTTTTGTTAACTTTCAGCATTCAGCTGGCCAATTTAGAGTACAGTTATTTCAAGGTTCTCCATCTGCACCTAGGAAGCTAGAGTTTGTGCAAGAAAGTTATATTAGATTCTTCCTTACTTTTAAATGAAGTATGTTCAGTAATATGAACTCCTACCTTCAAGTTCAAGGTTGTGTACTTTAAACATAGTGTCAATAAGAGCTAGATTTCAGGTTGTTATAAAAAATCATCTCTATAACCACTGTTGTGTATCTGCATTAATGTATAAATCTTTGCTCCCACTGGATCCTGTATACTAACTCTTCACCAACATTATTATAGAAAAATCAGTGGTTTCTCTTCTCTGAGCAGCAATAATAAAATGTAATTCAGAGGAGATAGGAAGTTTGGGTAATCTTTATAATTAATGTTGAAACTAAATAGATGTAAGAGTGCACAAATATAATTGTATGCAACAGATTAGCATGTGTAATAATTACAGCTACTGTTTGTACTACATTAACAAGGTACACATTTTTTCCGGGTCATGAAAAATACAAGCCAGAAACAACTAGGTAGAGCCAAATTCATAACTCCTTCCATTTATGCACAGGACCTCATTATATTTCCAATGTTATATTTGCAAAAATCCAGGTAATTTTCAGAACATTCTAGTCTAGTCTAGTGTACTACAGCAAGAACAAATATGAATCCTATGACATCCTGAACGCTTACATCTAATATAGCATAGATTTTTGTGGATAATAGTCCACATTGTTAGATATCTGGAATAGAGAGAAGAGCACTATATATTCACAGCCATTTGGAAGAATAGGTTAATGGAGTTGGTAGAAAGAAAGGTCAGAAACGTTGAAAACTATCTCTAGATACTGGCCAATAATTCAAAAATTATCAGTAATTTAACAAAAGATCAAAGGTTTTATTACACATTACACTGCATGTGTTAAGCTCATCAGTGTAAGAATAACTACCACGTTCAACAGTTTTGTTAATGGTCAAAGAGTTATTTATTTATTTGTTTATTTATTATTTGCAAAGTTAAACTAACTGGAGATAGATTTTGGAATTATTTTAAAATGATCAGATAAGTGGTTGCGATAGCCCAGATGTCTAATTTATTAGGGATGAGAGGGCGATTTATTTGATCCTTTTTGTGGCTAGCTTTTTAGGCTGTGCTGACCTCTTCTTGTAGTATAGCAGCTGGTTCTGTCCAGTAGTCTTATCTTGATGCAAATTGACTTATGCATGCAGAATGCATTGTGGAGATTTCACTTTGGCCACTGGTATTTGTGGCTTTATCCATAAGAGACTTATTTTCTGTGAACAGACTGAATCCATGCAGTTGGATGGGGTGGGGTGGGGGAATAAGCTGTGCAGGTTGAATTAGTATCAAGCTGTGGATTTATGAATGAGAAATCATGCTTGTTCAGCCCTTGAAACTTAGCTTGCTGGAGAACACTAAAGAAGAGAATTAGCAGTGGTACATTTGTCTGTGATTTAAAAGCAACAACTCTGCATTCTTTCTTCAATTTTGCAATCATCCCATGGTGTGGAATTAGATTACAATCCCAGAAGCCTTATTTGTCTTGAGCAGCCTTCCCCCAAGATAGAGCCCTCTAGATGTCTTGGACTCCATCTCCTAGATTGAGGCTGCCGCCTTTGATCATGTTCCTCAGCCAGGTCTTTTGCTATGGAAAAAGATCTGTGCATGGCAGACTATAGGGAGCATGGCAGGGTTATGTATCTGCTACTGTAGAGCAAAGAATTGGATGGGATTTATGTGTGTCGGTGTGGGTGTGGGTGTGTTTATATGTGTATGTGTGTACATCCTTTTGAGCTGTGCCTGCTTCAGAAGCACTAATAAACATCCTGACTATAGCACTTGTGTCCTTGGGATTTTTTTGGAAACTGCAACAAACGGTATGGGTAACTGCTACCTGCCCTCCTGTGATTATTTGGAAGCCTAAGCCCTCCAAGTATTCACCTCCATGTTCCCCTTTTCCTTCTTTTGATTCAGTTAATGACCCAAGGATATTACTTCAAGAGACTGTTCTTCCCCAATGGATGATATGCACTGAAGCCTAAATTAGTTTAACTGTTGGTATTATGCAATAGTTTTATCTTTGCCCCAAGTTCTTCAAAAGACTCCTGGCAGGAGGAATATCTAGCCAAGCAAATCTGACATTCTACCTCGGGGAAGGGCAGGAAATTTGGGGTCCTCCCGATGTTGCTGATTCTGAACATGGTTAACATGGCCAGTAATAAAGG